ATAGCGTTGCACTTGTACGGCGTAAAATTTTTCGTGACGTCAAAATAAAAATGATTGACCTCGCCGTTTGTGTTATGTCATAATAAACATCGAAGCTTTCAACACTATAAGAAAATACATATTAACTATAAATATTCAAGGTTGTTGTCTGAAACGATAAAACAAATATTTGTGACCAAAGAAATTAAGTGCAAAAACATGTATATACATCAGTAAAGTTTGGATATACATGTACAATTTAGACGGTTATACAGTCAATACCACCACCACGGTTTTAGTCAAATACAATCACACACTTGCATATTTCCACCAACATTTTATTCCTAATCTTGAAAATACACGTAGTTTGTGATCTAAGACATAAAAATAAAATATCTTAGATGCATGTCACTTATCCTTATTGTCTGGACCCTGAAGTCCACACAGGAATGTATATAAGCGAGGTTAAACCGGATGCTATGGGGGGAAAGTCCGTTTGCGTATGCACCCAAAATGTTTGAGAGGTCATCCCTATGACAACTCGCTTTTAGGACTATGCACCCCTGCCAGAAACCAACTACCATCTGGACAATAAGCCCTAGCTATTTTACATGATTTTACATGATCAACTTAACGCTCAAAGTTTACACGTCTTTTAATCTGAAAGATAACAAGAACTGAATTCTACATATATGCATCTAGATTAGTACATAAAAATATTTATATTTTCTGTAGTTATGTATAAGAATTGATGATGAATTGTTCGCGGGGGGGGGGTCTTTATTCTTGTTGATCTTACGTGTATAAAAAAAAAGTCAACATCTATATTATGATACGTGAATGACCCTTGTTTTTTTTTTATTTACTTATTTATTTTTTTTTTTTTAAATTAAAATGATACTGACTAGATTACAATATTTGTTGCCTTGATCAAAATTTCATATTAAGACCGTCCTGTTATTATTTATCATTACGGATTAAATTTTACATCAAGATATTTCAAGATAAAAGGAATCTATTTGATTGCATATATGTTCAATACAACCTTGAAACTTTTCTTCAGATTTCTGTTAGAAACACATGCATATGGTCCACGTATTGCAGTTCTTTTTTTAGGACTGCATGTAACTTGGTTTTTTCTACAATACTATATATAATGCTGAATAAATTATGACTTCTTTGTTTACGCAAAGGCCAATATCATGTGATACATACATCATCCTGCGGGAAATTCTGTTTACAAACAATCGAGTTCTAAATTTATTGCAAGAGTCATGAGCCCCTTGAATTTTACTCGCTATTTTTACCCATTTACCGTTGGCAATGCAGCACTAGTACTCGGGCAGTTTATACTTAGAAAAGGACACAATAGTAAAAAATGACAGCAAATAGAGAACCTTTCCTTTATGTCAATTTTTTTTTCGGAGAAAATAAATGTACAAACCCGTTTTTTCCACAATTCTTATTCTTTTTTACTGAATCTAAACAAGAATATAAATGCTTACTCGTCAGGAGAAATAAGAAAAAAAAGTTACCATGTTTTCTTACTTTTAGATTAATTTCCTCAAGAATACGGTCATATTGATAATTCTTGCTGTTTGGGTATTTTTTTTTCCAAAAAAAATTATGGTTTCATAGTGTTTGGACTTATTCACAGAACCTAACATGCATACGTATCTAGAACACCCCTTAACAAACGATAATATAAATGGTATCTCTGCATATAAAATATACACATTACAGGGGCCTGTGCATCATAGTTATCACATTATATTTCAAAAATAAACCCCAATTTCTGGAATTAGAAAAAATAAATATTGAATTTATATATATGAAGCAGGCAGTTTATCACTAAACACTTGTTTTCTAGTCTTCCGCGATATAGTGGTGTTTCCATTTTTTCTCTCCATTTTTGATGAGTTTGTACTTGCTGACATTTTAAAATTCGTCGAAACGTTTTAAAACATTTTTGCTCTTAATTGGCAAATCGTAATCACTCGGTGATTCTAAATATTTTTTATCCTAACGTGCAAACATTTTATTGACCTAAATGATACATTGTACGACGCAAATATATCATTCAGACTTGCGATATTCCTTAAGTTGTTTTAAAATTACACACCAATCCTTTAAAGATGGTAGGTAGATGTATTAACTTTAACTCGTTTGAATAAAAATCTCGATGGAAGATGATACAGTATACATGTACTTAAAATTGTACCACGTGCATCGAATGTGAATGTGCTATATTATGCTATTAAACTCTTTATAATTGCAATTACTTTGCCAAGTCACAAATGGTACAAAAGTTAAAAAGAGACAAGTCCTTTTTTTACATTGACAAATGACACATGTGAAATCAGTGTTTTCCTGATTTATAGATTTTTTTCCCCTGTAAAAAGTAGACGATGTCAGCTGATGTGCTTTCAGTTTTCAAATGGCGAGCTTGTTTTCGTGTGCTGTTAGAGAATATCGCAGCAAGGTACATGTACCTTCCCTCATCCGCTCCCCACTCAAATGGCAGACCGGAAATCTAAAGTGCCTCGACCTTTACCTTGCGAAATGGTCGTTCTGTTTGTTAGTCATATAAAACATTATTGATCCTTTCAGCATATTCACTTCTCGGCGAATTTCATGACAATCTAATAATTTTTAAATTTGATAACAATTGGTTTTATGCTGAAGTAATTGTATTTTAATTACCAGAATATACGTTTGTCGTCAGCGAACCATCCTTATGTTTCAGTTCTGTAGATACAATCTTTGTCTCAGGGTAAATCGTATATAAGCTTGACTAGGGGTTATCCTTTTGTTATTTGAAATTCATACTGACAGGGAAAGGTAAGATGATATATATATTTTTAATTTATGATTGCATATATACATGTATATATATTAGCTGCAGAACTGTAGCGTTATGGACTTATGGTTTTATATCTTAGTCTTTGACCATAACGACTAATATATAAAACATATCCAAAAATAATAATAAATAAATAAGACAAAACAAAATAAAAATGTGGATGAAATATAAAAAGAGTAATAATTTATAATGAAAAGATCAGTTTCAAAGGGATTTTTTATTTCTGATGAAAGGAAGCATTTAATATTTTCACACGATTTAAACCCCTACAATTTAATTAATTTATGTAGGTCACACGTTTTCCAGTATTAAAATTTTATTTATTTACCAATTTCTCTTTAAAAAAAAAAAATCTTTTGAGGCTATATAATAATACCCATTTTATGTCCATGGCATACATGAAATACTGATAATAATTACATGTGTATGTGATTTTATGTTAATGTTTCTGTTTATTCATTACGCAAAATCAATATACATATATATATACTACTTATTCTTCACACCTACGATACATGCTCTTACAATTATTGTTTTATAAATAGACCGTCTGACGTAATAATATACTTTAAAAGTTTGTTAATGTTTTCACACTTACCAGCTTATAGAGATTGACACTTATAAATAAAGAGTGAACGTTTTTGACTCTATCATACTCCAGTCGGACTTGTTTATGGGTAATTATATAATATTCATTTACTATGTTGCAGATTATGATTTTTTTTTTTAATTTCGTGCCTTTCATAATAGATATTTTCATATGAGCTTGGACATCAAGCCTCTCATTTCTCCATAATTAACAAGGGAATCGTCACATATTGCATTTGATTTGACTGTATTAAGTAAAAGTCCTCGGTTTCTAGGAGTAGAAATACATAACATCATTGCGTAGATAACAAATCGGAAATTTTACCCGCCGTGTTCCTAAAACGAGTAAGAACTAATTTATAAGTTACAAAATATCTTTTTAACTGTTTGTAAGTAGTTTTAAAATGATAACATCAAAACCATTTCTGCGGAAAAAAGAAACGAACTCAAGATAATATGTGAGAATATGATGTCATTTTCATCGAATTTAACCATGCATTTTTGTAGGGCTGGGACGATATATCGAGATATCGATAATATCGATTCAATGTGAGGATGATACGCATATCGATACGTATGAAGAAATATCGACATATCGCCCAAAAAATTCTGACTTGTGTTTTTCTTTGTTTACTTAACATTTTGGGTTTAATATATAAAATAAATATGCTTAATATAAATATAAATATGAAATACATAATAATTAAGACCACTTGTGCAAAATAATTAAGTTTTACAACAGATATGCAACTTCTTTGAATAAATTATTCTTATTTGTGAAGAAATGTTTTGTTCATTTCAATATAAAAAAAGAATTTATAACCAATTAAACATATCGTGATACATATCGTATCGTGGCTCAAATATCGGGATACGTATCGATATAGAAAAAGTTGTATCGTCCCAGCCCTACATTTTTGATGGATTTCTAAAAAAAAAAAATTTTTCTTTGAGATGTGATTTAGCTTAAATTGTCTATATTTGTCATTTTATAAGCTTAATCGAGAGTTTGGCCTCATTTTGTTGGAAAATTTAATGTAAAATTTTATAAGCATTTCTTTTAAAACATTAAAATAGTTTATTTAACGATTTCGATGAACAAATGATGCTAGGAGAATAATAACATTTTAGGGTCACAAAACTTTCACAATCCCTTTGCTGTTTTCCTTTAAATCCGCTACTGCACCTCTGAGTTACGTACAGACACCAAAAACCTCAATTCAATCATATCCGCGTTTTACATCAATTTTATTTCAACCACATATAACGATGCACTGAGTAGCGCATGTGTTGCATATTTGACCCATTTATGTTGATCTTCATATTCGTCCATAATTATGTTCATAGGACAGGTAAGAGAGCCTTTTACTTCATTGTGTTGTGTTTACATTGAAAGAGAGAGAGCGAAGAAAAGGGGGTTGTGCACAATGCATGTCTTTTTACCAACTAAAGACCAGTAAAAATGATAGTTTCGTGGCTACAGGGAACAATTTACAATCTGTCTTGTTCAGTTAAACTGAATGAAAATGAAAAATTGTGTCACTGGGAAAATGCCACTTTACATTTCCTATACAATGCGGAAATATTTTTTCATAAACAGCAAGGAATGTTTACCAAGGAAATAAAGTTTAAAACTATTTTTCTCAAATTTCTTTTCACCCCATTACCTAACTGGAGTGTGAAATTTCAATTTCACGATGGAGATTAATAAGTAACAAACTTAATCCTAAGATGTAAATTGACGTTTTAATGGACCACGCATATATTCTGTGTAACATTTAAGCTTTTCATTTCGCACTCAAGGTTATGGACCCCGGACAACTGCTTTTCAACAACTGCCTAAGGATGCGCTACGAGAGGAAACTCGGACCTCTAGAGACCATGTACCACGTGTTTTACACCAGAGGTGTGGATATCTACGCACAAATGGCTACCCTTATGTGTAAAAGACTCGTGGAATTTGAAGAGGTCAATGAAGCTATGGTGTGTTTGTTAAAAAGACACCCGATGCTACGAATGACAATCAAGGAAACTGGGGAAGAATACCCAGACTTTAAATTTGTTGAAATGAACCCAGTTAAACTCGATATTCAAATTTCGTATAACTGTAACAAGGAAGAACTTTTACATGAAGAATCGTGTAAATCCTTTGCAGTTAAAGACGGCCCACTGTGGCGATTGACTATTGTCAAACAAAAACAGGAGCAGTGCAATGTTGACACGGTAAAGTCGAGTGAGCACAATTTTGAGTTTTCATTCGTGTTCTGTTTTCATCACAGTTTAGCTGATGGGATTTATCTCAGAACCTTGTTCGCAGATTTCATTGAATTCTTAGACATGGTTCAAAGACACGCAATAGACTCGCGTTTTGTGAAAGAAATTGATATGTTACCAGCCATTGAATCCCTGCTCCCTTTATTAAATCCCAATAGAAGGCTTTATACTTCAGAATGCAGTAGTGAGGATACTGTAAAAGACATTGACGCCCTCCATGCGTACGAAGTTCATTTCGATCTTGAAATTGAGCAACTGAGGAACCGGCAGCAATCAACCAAATCCATTAGGTCCAACTTGCCGTCAGCAAAGTCTAAGACCTTTCTTCATCAGTGCAAACAAAATCACGTGACTGTGACGGGTGCTTGCATAGCTGCGTCTTGTATTGCATTTTGTCAGTTGATAAAAGCATCCATTCCAGGTGATATTAAGGTTTTAAACATTCCCGTGGAAATTATGGTGAATATGAGAAGATATACCCAAAACAAAAACATGTATCTAGCCTACCCGGGTGTAGCTGCTGTTCATCTTCCCCTTACAGTCAAACTACCGCTTGGCGGGAACTTGCAGGAGCATTTCTGGTATTTAGCAAAACAGTGTACAGACGACATTAACAACATGTTAATTTCGGGCTATCCACTGGAATACATGTCAACGGAAGTTGTTCAAGAAATTAGCAAAGAGCCCCAAAAAGGGAAATCTCCATATGTACTCTGCATAACTAACATGTCTTCAGTAGATGGCATTGTGAAACCCAATCAAAGATCTCGGTTCCACTTGAAGGAATTTCCCGCCATGACCCAGATAGGTATCGATGAAATGCCAATATTCTATGTGGGGATTTTATCTATGGCACAAGAACTTCACCTTGATATCGGACATTGTCAGAGGTATACATCACAGTCAACAGCGGCCAAATTCTCCTGGAATGTTGTATCCATGTTGCAAAAGTTCAGCAGTTTGTGAAACGACACAATTGAATTGATGCGCTTCGGAAAAGAAGGATGAAGCATTCCAACGAAAATCGGATTCAAATGCATTTTCTACCGTTCATTTTATTCTCGTGACAAAAGTTTCAAAGAAAAGATAGCATACTCAGTATATTATTTGGTATTTTTTGTTTTTTGAATATTTTTTCTAAAGAGAAGTTGCTTTTAAATGCATTGTTATCATTAAAAAAAAAAACAACAAAAAAACATTAATGTGTCGTCCATTTTTTTTTTTTTTTGTTTTGTTTTGTTTTTTGTTTTTTGTTTTTTTTTTGTTTTGTTTTGTTTTTTTTTTTTTTGCACATTCCCAGTTACACTGTATATTTTTTTAACGTAGAGATGAGAAAGGTGATACAGTTTTGTTGTACTTTATAAAGGTAAACCCTATATTCGTGAAAAAAGACGTATTAGAGATTTTTCAGCTGTTCTGAGGTTGAAGGTCTAGACTATGGCGGATGACCCCGGGGACTTCAAAGATGGGCCATTATTAAGCTGTTATGATTATGTGGATCATTATCCATGTCGCCCTAAGGAAGGCGTGACACCGGGGCAGTCGTGGATTGGTCCTTTTTCATAACGCTCACAAAACTCTCCTTATAACGAATACATCAAGACAATAAGATTTTCGGATATAATTTACTATTACCTTTTACGGTTTAAAAAGCACATGTAAGGGTGGTAGTTTAATCGACATTTACACCTGTTACACACACCCCCCCTTTTTGGACCTATCTAAATAAAGTATGAAAATAATCTTTTCTATCCAACCTCTTTTGTTCTAAATACAAAAGGTTGATTAGAAAACACGTACATGTATAAAACTGGGCATCCACATAACTATCTAATTTTGTGAATTTTTTTTAAGGTTCACTGATACTCTGATAAGAGAGATAACTCTTAATGACAAAAATATGTCTATAATTCCTTATAAATTTGTCGAGTTGAAGTGAGTTCTTTGTCCAATTTTGCCCCGCAAGCTATGTTATAATTGTTTGTATTTTACTAATAAAATACATTTCTTTTGGAAAATCATAACGGTTAAAGCAAAATTTAATATGAATGAGCAAAGGGTTTACATGTACACGTATGAACCTTTATTTCCGTTTATGTACATATACATAGATTAGAAATAGTGCGTCATGAAACCATTTCAGCATGCGTTTTACGATTTATTGTAATACGATTTTACAAACTTTGACGCATCAACTTTTATAGATTAGTACATGTACTTATACTTATGATGAGCAATTGAATACTTTCCAAGAATACGTTTATTGACTCGAATAATCCAATTTCTGTGAATTTTTCCATGTAAAAAGCTTAAGGAAGAAGTTAGACGTGAAAGAGCAAGAAAAATGCAAACAAGGAGGACTTGAAGTTAAAAGAATATCATTAAAGGCAAATAAAAGACAATAAAGGCAAGCATGCCATACATGGTATTATATATAATATTGTACAAGAGGCTAGTAGTAACTGTAAATAATCATACTTTGAAGCGTTTTCTCTGAAAGCTGAAATTATTGCAATTCTCGGGAGCTAGGGTCGAACTCCATAAATACCTTGTGTTACACTGTGATGGTTAACTTTTATGACAGAAACAAGTCCCTGTGTTCGGGAGGGGGGGGGGGGGGGGTTCGAATACCTCTTAATTTGGGTAATGGCATTCCTTTTACATTTGCTACCGTTGCCCCCGAATATACAACCCAGATTATATTGCCTCTGACAGGACTTTCAGCTCAGATCTTAGCCTAAAATCTTAAGTGAAAGCCTGACAGAGGTGAAAGAATCTAAGTTGTGTTTTCGAAGACATAGACTTTTAAACGTGATGAGTCAAAAATCATGTTTTTTTTATTTCTATCATAAAGCGATAGATTTGTAAATTAAAAAAATATGAATATAGCAAAGATTTGACAAGCTCAGCTGCATCGTAAAGCAGGAATAGATTGCAAAATATATCTGCTGGGAAAACAAAGGCTGACAGGTATCTACCGCGTCGTCCATGTACGCGACTTTTATTTACAGAGTAAAACTTGTAAACAACATTGAATTGGAGCATGCAAAGGTGAGAATATGATATCTTTTTTTACTGTTACTGAAGAAGGTATACACTATAATACAGAGTTAAAGCATTTCACCAGGACGGGTAAACTACCTTGTATGGAAAGCGTTTTTCAACATGTGACAATGTTCGTGCGTATTATATAAATACTGCATATAATTGAGTAAAACATTAAAAATTTTCACCCCAAGAGAACCGTTGTCAACCGAGGCAATTGTCGGTTGACAATGGTTTTCCTTTGGGTGTCAGTTTCAACTGTTTCCCTCCAAGAAGTTTATATAATGACGAATGTGATGACTTCAATTTTTCAATCGTCAACTTCCCTTATTTATGTAGCAATATACCCTCATCACCTGCATATGGAGTGTTTGTCTCCCAGTTGATTCGATACGCAAAAGCATGCTCTACGTATGAACAATTTCTAATACGAGGCAAGCTATTGACAAACAAGTTGATGAAAAAAGGATATCAACATTATCGTTTGAAGCCATCATTTAGCAAGTTTTATGGTCGATACAATGTCCCTGTCAACAAATACAACCTATCATTGAGCCAAATGCTGACTGACGTTTTTCATAATTATTGTTAGGCCATTATTTACACACTGAATTATCTACGGATTTGTCCTTTTTTTCCCCGATCATGACAAGGAGCACACAGCAGGTGTGACCGGTCGCCAGGGGATGCTTACTCCTCCATGGCACCTGATCCCACCTCTGATGTTTTGGAGGTCCGTGTTTGCTCTGCTCCCAATTTGTATTGTTTAGATCTAAATGGACTTTGAGCTACATGTAGAATACTCTTCGTTATCTTCATTTTTCATGGTCTCTTTTGTTTAATCTCGTTCTCAACAAATTTATGTATGTCTTATCTCTTAAAGAGGTATTGTTTAAATGCTCTCAGAGTTGTATGAAGTTACTATGTCCTATATAAAATAATATAAGATGGATCAAGAGAAATATAAGGGCTTTTAAAGTTGAAAGTTATATTAAGGTCATAGGGAAGGTGAAGATAAAAAAAATTGACACAGCTTGATTGCTCACCACTTTAATTAGTGTATTAAGTTTGCATTAATTAAGTAAAATAATAAGTTGGAAAAAAATAAAAAGGTTCGAATAGCTCAAATAAAAGTTGGAAAACTTAAAGCCAAAATTAAAATTGGAATTACCAACTTTAAAGTTGGATTTCCAACTTTAAAGTTGGAAAAGCCAAGATTAAAGTTGGAATTTCCAAAACCCAACATTAAAGTTGGAATTACATGTACCAACTTTAAAGTTAGAACTTTTAAAAAAAAAATATTACGTGGCACTAATACGCTTCCGTAAAAATTAAATAGACCGTCAGAGACCTGCCTGCAAGCACTTACGTTGTTTTCGAATGAAATCTTGAACGACTTATTATCTTGTCTTGACATCCGTTTCGTCGTACGACTTGGCTGTGCAACACAACATGGCTATGGAGGAAGTTCGGAATGCTGGGGATGCGAGAGAATTAACTTTACGTGGTCCACACATTAGCAAAGCTATAGAAGAAAATGGATTGGATGAAAAACTTTATGGGCTTACTAATCTGAATTATCTGTGTATTTCTCAAACATGTCTGAAGCAGCTGTCACCCAAGCTAGGCGACCTCGTAAACCTCACTAACTTGGTATTGCACCACAACCAACTGACAGCTTTACCAGAAGAAATACAATGCCTGACAAAGTTAAAGTTCCTCGATTTATCAAACAATCAGATAGAGGAATTGCCCTTTTCAATAACAAAACTTTCAAATTTAGAATCCCTGAATGTAAGTGTTAACAAGCTACTTTCTTTTCCACCTGTAAATGAAATGAAATCTCTTCACATTTTAAATATTTCTCACAACAACCTGCAAGAACTACCAGAAGGAATATTTGACCCCGGGCTAGTCCATTTACACACGATAATGGCTGGAAATAATGAAATGGAACATTTGTCACCAAACGTGGCCAATTTGCCCCATTTACAAACACTGGATTTAACAAATAACAAATTGAAAGAAGTGCCAGCAGAACTTAGTGTATGTCCAAAACTCAAAGTACTCAGCCTCACAGGAAACAAATTTTCAGATAGAAGATTTGGAAAGTTGGTAGAACAGTGTTTGACCAAGGCTGTCATGGAATACCTAAATAAGAATTTGAAAAAAGAAAAAGGTCAAAACCCAGATAAGAAAGCAAAAGGAAAAAGTACAAAATTGACCAAAAAAGACCTTAAGAAAGAAGAAGATGATGATGATGTGGAATTTTTGACAGATGCCTTGAATGTGTTGCACTTCCCTGACAAAGGTGGTTTGGTTGTGTCCGTTACTCCAGCTGTGTTGTCTGTAAGACCTTACATTGTGTGCTGCATTGTAAAAAACCTGGACTTGCAAAAGACGTCCAACTCTTTCAAGCAATTCATCACCCTTCAGGTTTCTAAGTTTTCTTTCAAAGTGAATCATATTTAGTTGTTATCTTTTAGTAATGCACATGTTTAGATTTTAATTATTTATGTTCCTTATAGACCAAGCTTCATGACACTTTATGCAATAAACGACAAGCAGCCACAATTGCTACGCATGATTTGAGGAGTGTGAAAGGTCCACTGAAGTTTGATGCCCAATTTCCATCTCATCTTATGGTGTGTTCATGCATATTTAGTTAGTAACTTAATTGATTAAACATTTGTTGATTTTATTGATATAAAACCTTACTTGAGACAAATAGTGACATTTCTACACCACGCTTATGGCTTAAAATCCTGTGGCTTGCCAAATATTTCAGATTATCCCACTTTCCAGACAGAAAGAAGTGACAGGAGAAACGTTAGTGGAGGATCTTCTGAAGGAAGCAGAGGCTTTACGAAAGGAGAAGAAAAGAAGCACAGTGTCCGGTATTCACAAGTATGTACTTAAAACAATAATAAAGTTCCTATAAGTATACTACTTCATACTTATATTTTAGTAAGTATACTTACATAACATAGACATGTACATGTATA